CTATTAGTATAGTTCAGTTTTTACCCATTATTCTTAATTTTTCAATTCAAAATTCTACGGATCTTGAATTTTCAATAAATAAATAACTTATTCTATTAAGTATCTTCTATATTTTTAGAGTATACGTAAATATTGCTTCATTTTACAACTTTTCCAACAATGTTGTACCTTAATCATACGTTAGTTGAGATATTGATGAAGATGGTAATTGAATATTAGGGATACATACCTTTGACTAAAGAAACTATACCAATCATCAAGAACCTTCTGTTGTCTCTCTGTAAAGTCAGAGACATCGTCACTTATAGTAATATCAACGTCTTCTTCCTTCAAACTTGATTTTCCAAGGGCTCTACTAGCATCTCTACCAACAAAAATTCCGTATTTTGTTCCTGGTCCATACGCTTGCAAATTCTTCGTGACATCAAACACGGTTCCCTTGATTCCAATATACCTTTCTGGACGTTGAACACCTTGATATAACGTTAATAGACACACGGGTGTTTAAACATGATACCTACATACCATCAAATTCTCTCAACTGTTCTTTCGTTATCGGATCATATTTTGGAGGATCCAATTCAACTGGTGTTTTTGGAGCAAACTTCTGTTTGGTAGACATCTTAATACTCGTGCACTTATATCGCTTATTCTTTTAATTTTATACTTTTAGAGCAAGAGGGATTCTCAAAGATATATAATGGCCTAAGCATTTTCGATATACTCGTTCTTCATTTTTCCTGTATGTAGGCGCGAATTGCATTTTTATAAGAAAGGCAAAAAAACATCCATCCAAATCAAATACACATATTAACATTCATGAATAGGATCAAAACCAATACCTAAATGTCATTCATAACAGATCTTTGGACTTCAATCTTTACAGCTGGTACAACCCCAACGTTGATTATTGCTACACATGGTACTTTTGCCCTATTGGTTTTAACTTTAACAGTTTTTGTATTTTTATCAAGATCAATACATTTAATAAACTTATTAGTAATTTCAATTTTATTATGGGCTACTTTAACGTGGTTCATTGCAGAGCTTGATAAAGCTAAAGATGAAGTTAAGAATAATGACCAGTTAGAAGCTGAAAATGTTGACTCTTCAAAAGAAACAAAAACTACAACTTCTTCATCAAATACAAATTCTACTTCCACATCAACTTCAAAATTTTCAAAGCCAGTTCAAAGAAGATCGAAAAAGATATAAGATTTTTTGTTTAAAATAATAGCATTAGTATATTAATAATTATATAGGGTTTTATTTTCCCTTGATTGAAATTTTGTCATTATTTCATTATCATAAGTGTGAAATGTCAGCTTCTGTTCTTTTATTAGCATATAAATACCAATTCACGTACATTAGGTTTTTGTTGATTTCCCACATTACATATGCTTAGATCATATTTATAAGCTTCTCAATCTTTCGCATTCATAAGATTTCATCTCTAGTTCTAACTGTTTTCTGAATTCTTCAATATCCTCATCCTCATCATCACCACCATCCTTTGAATTACGAAAAGAAGATTTAGGTGTTGAACTCATCTCAAAAGAACTTCTTGACGGTACTTTCTGAGGTTTTCTCTCATCAAATTTGTTATATGAAGATGTGAAAAGCTTTGGGGAAAACGTTCTTTTTAGACTTGTACTAAAAATATTCTTATGATCTGTGTCATTACCTGAGCTATTCATAACTGAATCTGCATTTTCTAAAATTGGTGAAACCACTGGAGATACAACCTCATCTGGATGATCGAACTGTGTTTCGTTGGTTTTGTCGTTAACATAAAAATAGACTGATAACGTTGGATCGTATCTTATTGACCAATCTGATGACTTCACTATTGGTTTGATTTTAATACCTGATGTATCGTGATTGATTGGTGATATCTTGTTTGATTTACTTGTTAATGAGCTTGAACTTGAACTTCCAATTGGTCTGGTATTTGTGTTTGATGTACTAGAAAATGTTGTATTTATGGATAAAGATTTTTTGTCGTTATTGAGATTATTATGTGCTTCAATCTTGTTACCTTTATTGTTTGGTTCTTGTTTTTCGGAAGAGAACCCGTATTTTGTGATTTTATTGATTAACTTGGTCATTTTAAATAAGATTCCATGTGGGTTCTTTCAAATATATGTGCTATGGAGAGTAATATAATTGATTTGATTATTATCTTTTGTGGTTATAGAGCTGTATGGAGCTAATGCCATAAACAATTCACATGAAGTGGTATCAGATCGTTGCGGTGCTATTATATACCCAGGTTGTAATTAATTGAAAAAGCTGCGAAAGTGCAACTTTCACCTTATTTATATAATAAATTTATGAAAATTTAATAAGGTTTTCCATTTATATATATGAATTTTTTACATATACATACAGATATTGTTACTGATCAATGATTATTTTCGCTCGGTAAAATTCAAGTCTCTTCCAGAGCCGTCGAAAAATAAGCTTGCCCTCATGAAATCACATCCTTATTAATTTAATTTGAATTTCAGCCGATTTTAACGGATATTTAACTCGTTTTTGAAGATAGTATGAATAGATGTATTTGTCTTTTACCGTTGTGTAAAGGTATGATTTTCTTATCAAGAATGGTTATACCAGCTAGCTGTACGTACGATATGATGATAATCTTGATATTTAACTTTTATAACGCTTACCTCATCGCGTTTTTCGGAAGCGCGCTTGTAAAGTTTGGCACATGATATTATAGATATTAATGGCATATGGTTCGTAACTGATACCTTAACCCTTAACCCTTAACCCCTGCCTAATTATACTTCACAGCTCTTTTCTAATTTTAACTATCAACACTCTCTAAACTCACAAAATGTATAATAAAAGTACTACGTCTAAGTATAAACAGTACACTAGTGTTATACACCGCTTTATATTAGTATAACTTATAGATATATGTGGGTCCGACTGAGCCGTTTTCCACAACTTTATTATATTATTGTTCAGGTCTTCAGAACTCTGAGTACCTTCATAACTAAGTCCACTTAGTTTCAACTCAATTAATGTCAGTTAATTTGATCTGAATGTTAAATTTAATATTGTTAATTAGCTCTTGGGACATATTATTGAAGTTCATATCGATATAGCCGAACGCACTTATATAACGCTTAAGCTCTGTAACTAATTACAGAATACTCGAACACATAATATATATATATATATATATATATATATATAGCTGGTAACTTTTAATAGGCTGTTGATCTTTGACAGATGGCGTAATTTCCCTTCTGTAACTTCACATATAAGACCCTGGAACTTAGAACTCTTTCTAAAAAAATTAAATTACATTGCAAAGTCGACAAGCCATGTTGTTTTTTGGATGTCCTGTTTATCATATTACCAAGTTACAATCAAAATATATATGTATTTAAGTGGTACTGATATGGGTTGTCATATATAATTTAAATCACCCAAATAATCATTTTGACCACTTTTCATCAATACTTGAGGAAAAAGCAGGTCTAAAAATCACCGCCACCAAAATCATCACCTCCTCCAAAATCATCACCTCCTCCTCCGTAATAATCATCACCATAATCATTAACAACCATATCTGGCTGCATCATATTACCCAACATCATACCACCTAATAAACCAGCTAAAATAAATTGTTAGTATAGATTTTTAATAGAAATAATTAATTAATGACACATACCACCAGCACCCATTGCAGCACCACCGAAACGACTTCCACCGCCTCCACCACCAAATCCTAGATATTGTTAGTAACTATTTCATATCACCATCCGCAGATACTCACTAGACCCTTGTTGTTGTGGATAACCTTGTTGCGGATAACCCTGTTGTGGATAACCTTGTTGTGGATAGTAACCTGTTCATGTTAGCATAAATACATTTAAAAATCACATAATTATGACATACCTTGTGGGGGATAACCACCTCCAAATCCTGGTTGTGGACCTCCAAATCCTTGAGGTTGTTGTGGGTAATATTGTTGTTGTGGGAAGCCTTGACCTCTTCCTGCAAAGCGTTGATTAGAATTTTGAGGGGGTATTGATCCAGATTGACTAGAATTTGGTCTATCTTGATGGCCATCTGGGGCATATGGTGGTGGTTGAGCTTTAGCTTCTTCTTTGTCTAGAATTTATTCTGTTAACGATTGCCTAATAATTATAACGAAAAACAACGATTATATATTTCAACTTACCTTTGAACGTTGTCCCTTCTGGGGCTTCCCATTGCGATTTACCAGTTTTCAAATTAACATAGAACCATGTTTGGTATTTTTCATCATATTGGGCTTTCCATCCGTCTGGAACTTGTGGCTCTCTATTGGACATGTTTATATTTATAGCTCTTTTCAAATATAGTCTTTTATAAGCAACAAAAAAAAAACAAATTGAAAAGGATTGATATGAATTTTTATTTGAGAGAATATTACGCTCATGACATTTCAGGTTCTGGGCAATTCTGAATTTTAAGATCATGATAATTCCCCAAAGTTCGATGGGCGCGAAACGCGAGTCGCCACTAGTGCTGATTACTAACACACACATAATCAATTATCAGCTCATCCAAAGTTCCAGCTGATAACATTCAGTCTTTTTTCACTACAATTATATTAAACGATGATTAATATTTTATTATAACCGACCAATTAAGATCTAGCGTAATATACTATTTAACCTAATCGAATAAACCGAAACCCATGTCATCATCAGAGGCTTCTTCTTCTTCTTCAGCAGCAGCAGCTGGAGCATCTTCAGAAGCAGCTGGAGCGGAAGCAGCAGCTGGAGCAGCAGAAGCGTATTTGTCTGGGTTTTCAATTCTGTCAGCTAATTCTTCAATTTCTGGGTAGACATATTTAGTAGCAATGGCAACAGCTAATAAATCTTTGTAAGAGTTAACAACAGAGTGACCAACAGATGGTAATGTTGGGTAACCAATAGCTAATGAGATAGAAGCAATGGTGTTAACAGCTGAGACAAAGTGACCAACTAATTCATCATCAGTGATATCTAAGACTGAAGATGGGAAAACTTGACCATTGTCGTAAACTTGAATAACAGCTAAACCATAAGTGAATGGAGAAATGTTTAACAAGTTTAATAAAGAAGCTTCAGAAGGACCAACTTTAGCACCGGCTTCAACAACTTTAACATCTGAAACAATTTCAATGGTACCTCTAGCAATCTTGGTTGGAACACCTAAAGCTTGGAAGAAAGAAGTTTTACCTGGTTCTAAACCAGTGTTAATAGCTGGAACCCAAACGTCAGCTGGAGCAAAAGCACCGGCACGAGCTGGAGCGGCAACTTTGTTGTCAATAATAACATCTCTAATGTCTTTCAAATCAGAGTTGGTGAAAACGAAACCAACGTTACCTTTAACATATGGTAATAATTTTTCATAATCTGGTAATTCAGATAAGAAACCACGGATAGCACGACGAACCATGGTGTTTTTACCCATAAGGATAACAGCTTTACCTCTCAAAGCTTTTCTAACTTCATGCATTTGTTGAGATGAAACATTGTCAACACCAACAATGAAGATAGATTTGTACTCTTCTAAGAGTTCTCTTAATTTAGCAAAGTATTCAACTTTTTTTTCACGAACGCCTCCCATTTCGACTTATTGTATTTTTGAGGAAAGGATGTTTAAAGGACACTCAAAAATGGTTTATTTGATGATATCTTCAAGTAGTTGTGAAGTTAGAAAAATCTGAATTTTTCATGATCAAGTAGTGGACTTGGGAGTTTGGTGGAACTTGATTCGCGATTTTTTTAAAAACTGTTTGATAAAACCCAAACATCAACTAGCCCTTCTGAAAGACACGTGACTAAATTTTCGTTCACAGGGCATCTGTATCAGACTCGGAAATGCTTTAAAATTACAGATCACCTAAAACATCAAGTCTGTATATTATTATTTTAACTAGTATCAACCTAAGAGCTACATATTAACCTCTATTTCAAAGGGATTTTTGTCCAATTGCTTTCAAATTTCAACCCTTTACTGTTGATGAAGACTTGAGCAATAGGGCATTTGGCTTCAGTTTCGTCTCTCAATTGTTCAAATTGTTCATCAGTTGCATCAGTTTCAACTTTATAATTAATGATGACTTTCTCTGTCAAAAACCCTGGATACTCGTTAGGGACTTTGGATAATGGGGCTAATGCAGCATCTATATCAATTTCAGCTTTTCCAAGCTTAATTCCTCGGTCTGTCAAATTAATTGTCAGTATACCTCTATTATATTTCATAATGTTACTTACCTCTTGCAACTAATACGGCAGTGATTTGTTGACATCCAGAAATACTTGAGTATAAGTATTGAATTGGATCTGGGTGTAGATCTGTTCCACCAAGCTCTTTAAATGCATCGGTCTAATTTTAATTGTTAGATATGAACGAAACACGTTATTAAATTTTATTGATTACTCACATTGATGACATGATTAACGTTAACTGGGTCGTTAACTTTTAATGTTTGTCTATAACCCTCAGCCAATCCATTCAATTTTATGCTCAGTGCATTTCTTCTAGCACTAATAGAGAAGAATTTTTGGGATTTCAAAGAATTATTTATAGTTGATGGCTTGATTAAAGTTCTGAACATAATCTTTAGAGTTTTCCTGTTGAAATGCTAGGATCATAATCTTGAAATTAAACACATTTTGGCTTTGGACTTTGGACTTCTTATATATACTAAAATCTCATGGGTAAGTGCTGAGAACTGATTCTAATCGAAGGAAGCTGCAGATCGATTTAAGATGCCACAACTTGAGTCAAATATCTATACTCTTTCAGTTCAGCTTTTACCTCTATAGAACTTAAAACAACAGAAGGCGATATATAAGAATGTGACATCAATTGACCCAGAATATTCTTGATCTTCTCATATTTTTTAAGAAACAAGCCATCGTTATAAATTAGTTGTATAACAAATGAAATGTTATTAATGTTGCATCTTGAAAGTTGATGTGTGCTTTGAGCTTGACAGGTTTTTAGTGTTGTAGATATTTCCAAGCTAAATTTACCCGTGTTACGTGGTATGTATATCATTCAAGCCACATTTGTGATAAGCTTGAATCTTAAAGAAGCTTTCAAGCGAGCCGAATCCGCCAATCCAGCATATTTGGAAGATGGATTTTGCTTAAGAATGATATTCGTTAGCAAGAGAGCAAGAGGTAACCTATGTAAAGTATTATCGCCAATTTATGAATTCCTTTTCGACATGATCCTAAACAATATGACTGTTTGTAACCAAATATTATAATAGACGTGTATAGGATATAGGAGTAATAAGTACATATTGCACCATCGAAAAAAACGCACTTTACATTTCTCGGAGATAAAAATGTCAAATAATTTGGGGAGAATATATGGCTTACGTAAGGCGAACCCAGAGATAATAATGTGGAACTTTAAAGATTGTATCATGAGCTGATACTATATAATCATTAATATTATATTTAAATTAATAATTCGACCGTAGTATTACGGCTCATGTTTGTACTTGCTTGAATTCGAAATTTTAAATTTTTCAGTTTTTAGGTTATAGAAATAAATAAAGTTTTTAAAAAAATTTCAAGGTCCACTTTATTTCTTAACTTAAATTATTTCAAAATTTTAAATGATATAAATTACTCAGTTCTGGTACCTATGAAAGGAGCAGAATTTGTTGACTGTTTTAGTACCTTTTTACCATTATTATACGGGTTTGTTGCTGTTTTAGTAGTGCCATTTTGAATATAGGATTATGTAAGCAGCGCCTTAATAATATTCAACTATATAATATATTTCTGACATTTAGTTTATAATATAATATATATATATCATTCTGTAGTATTATATATACAATATTTCGTCTAAATAAATAATAATATCCATTATCAGTGCTAGCGGTAGTAATAGAACATCAATGAGTATATATATAGATTAATTGATCAAGAGATATAGCTCCAATATATTTACTAAGCTAGTGAAGTTTGTGACATCAGGTATCATTTTAGGGGATGAGGGATGAAGAGAGTGATGGTACTCAGGCTTACAATTACAATATAAGAGTTCAGACAGAACATCCATCAAAAGTCAAAGTTATACGAATATGTATATAGAAGACGCTAGAAAGGAATCAAGTTCAATATTAATATATTAAAACTAAAATTATTCATATAATCAGCAGCTCAATTGTCTGTAATATACCATAAATTGCTATTAGATCTTCACTAACTATATTATATTCATAATACTAAAGGTAATAAGCAAAAATACCTATTATATTATAGTAAGGTACATTGTAATATAAAACGTTGATATTGATGAAGTTTGACGTATTCGTAATTTGTGTGAAATCACATATTATATTGATTAGCTCCCCCATTAGTATCATGCATTGAATGCCCATATAATTAGATAACACCCGCAATACACCACTAGAGCTTTTACTCAAAAACTTTTAGCGAGAGTGATCAACAGCTATAAATTATCTATTAGATAATTTTGATGTTTATTTTACCCTTTGAGAATTTGATTATTTCATCTTCACACTGTGACCTCTTTACACTGATGGCTTTTGGTGTTTTTTTCTTATAATTGATGCAAACATATGGAGTAAGTATGGACTAATTGAAACCGTAACTTTAATGTGAAATTTAGGCAAGTAGAATGATACTATAATAAGTCTAGTAGGGTTATATGTGAAGCCTTAATCAAATAACTTAATCTTGAGTATTTGGAGGAAGCTATCAATTGTAATTATGTGTCATGAGTCAAAGGTGATCTCTCTCTCTCTCTACTATAGCTACTTGGAATTGAAGTAGATCATGCAACTTCCAATGAATGAAGTATGGATTTATTTTATTTGACTAATTACTAGCATTCATTCAAAGAACAGAGCATTAATGTGATGGAAATTTTTATATCTGATATAATTTCTTATAATATACATTATAAATAAAACCAACTGCAACATATACTGAAGAAGTATTTCTTCTATTTATCCATTTAGATTGAAAAGAGTACCGAAAGAGATTTATGAGCTTAAAGTTTTGAGAAAAGCGCATTTCATATTGGGTATCGCATAGATTCGGTAGTTTCCCAAGCCGGCAGCTAATCTATACGAGTTGTCAATGCTTTAACTAAGAAAGGAACACTAGCTAAGCTGTTCTTCAATTAATGACTTTAATTATTAAGTTGAAGAAATCGTGTACACCAAATATAGTCTATAGATAGTAATATGACGTGAAATAAAAATCCTTTAATGGTTATAACAGATAATACAAATTCTACTTTACTCGTGATGACGTGATATAACAAGATCGTAGCTAGCGTTAAGCTACACAACATGAAGCCTAAATAAGTTAATTAATTACGGTGTTATCTGAAAAGCCTTTTAAAAGTTAAGATCAATGCAGCTTATTTATAAAAGGATTTACGAAATAAATTTTTAGATATTTATTTCGGAAGATTGCTATGCTAAATTAGTCAGATATAAAGAATTATGCATGATTCAGTCAGAATTTAGAAGCTATCTTTCCCGATGAAGCTTGGGTAATATAATTCCAATAATTTGTAAGTTGTGAAATACTATGTAAGATCTTTCACCTACTATCTATTTTATTTAGCTTTTAAACCTTATATAAAGGCTTCATTAACGATTGACAACAAGCTCATAAAGCCAAGTTCAAATTTAATTAGATTCATGGCGTCTGTTAATCTTCTTTTGCACAAATTGGTGTTTATATTTGACTAAATGTGGTAATCGGATCTTTATCATAAATGCAGGAGTGCGAAAATTGCATAAAAACTTCCAGCATAAAATTTATTACAATCGAATTAAATTTCGCAAATTGTGTTGCCATGGCGCAGGCGTTGCCAAAATTACACTCAGAAAAGGTACAAAGAAGAAATTAGCAATTTAAAAAGAAAAAGCTTGTTACACGATACGTGAATTTTAGTTTCTGATAGAGATACACGATTTTGTTCAGATTTCATGGATCGCGTAACTCTATGATAAGAAGATGCCAATAAAATACTGAAAGGTGAAGAATAAACCACCATCATACTCACTCTAGTGTTGCGTTATCCGCTTCTTCTTCATCTCGTCATGCAAATTGGATGATGGGATTCCCAGGGGGCATGTCGCGTTATCCAATAGCCAGAATTACGCAAATCTCCTGCGAAAGATTCAAAAGTAAATTAATTTTAAAACACAAAAACCTTGCATTACGCAGAAGTACGCGTGTTTTATTTTAGGAACATGATTTTTAGGAGTTTACAAAAACTGAAGGTATCCACAAAAAGAATATAAATACACACCAATATTTCCTAAAAATTCAAACTCTTCTTTTATTCATTTTACTTCTACATCTTAATTCAAAAGATTAATCTATCAATTAACTTCATTACATTCACATAATTTCAAAATGTCTACTTTATCTTTAGTTCCAACCCAAGCTGTTGTTTACGCTGCTTCAAACGTCTCAACTAATGGTTCTGCTGCTTCAAACGGTACTTCAGGTGGTGCTGCTTCAAACGGTTCCTCAAACGGTTCCTCAAACGGTTCATCAGGCTCATCATCATCATCATCAGGTGCTGTCTCATACTCAATGAACCCAATCTCATGGAAATACGGTGTCGCTATTGGTGCTTTAGTTGCCTCTCCATTCATCTTATCTGCTAGTATCTAAATTTAATTCTTTTGGTAGATATCATGAGGTTATTTTTTTATTATATTATGGGCTTTTAAAAAATTGAATTTCATTCATTAATGTTCTTTATTGATTAAAGAATTTAAAAACAATTTTATTATATTTTAGAACTTAGCATTAGTTGGTGGTTTAAATGTTTTTCATGTGTTATTAATTTTTATTACTTTATAAATTCGGTTTAATTTCAATTTTATTTCAGTGGTTTTATTTAGATTTGGTTTATTTTAATTTTTATATATCATAAGGTCATGTCCCAATTATAAATATAAATTACATTAGATTACTTTGATATTGTTTATCTGTAGCGTTTATAGAGTTGATTTTCAATGTGTTTTCGATCTAAAAATGATGGAACATTATGCAAACTACTTTACTCCACCATACTGTTAGAAGTTATGTTTTGTCGGCTTATTAGAGCTAGATTTTACCTACAATCATATAATATAAAATTTTTGATGAAAATTAAAATAGTTCATTAATTACTTAGTTGTACAGCTCCATATGAATAAAATACGTGAGATAAATCAATACCGGTGATTAATCTATAATACACCAGCTGTTAAGACAAAACCAGCAGCTAAAATACCACCATACAAGTAACCATATTTCCAAGAGATTGGGTTAGCAACAAAGACACCTTCTGCAGCACTTGAACCTGAGCTTGAAGAAGAAGAAGAAGAACTTGAACCTGAACCTGATGATGAACCAGAGTTGGAAGCACTTGATGAACCACTAGAACCACCAGATGAAGAACCTGAACCACCAGATGAAGAACCACCACCTAGAACGGCTGATGAAGCTCCTGAAACTAAACCTGAAGTAGCTGAACCTGCTGCTGAACCTGCTGCTGAAGCGATTGCTGAAGACATATTTTGAAGTTGTATGATATGATGTGTATTAATTAATTAAACGATCAAACATCTTATAAAAGAGGAATAATAAAGCCTTTAAATAATTCTAATTTGAATTTCAGAGTACTTGTGAAAGTTGCGCTTTTGAATTTCAAAGTTGTATATAATTGCTTAATTTCGCAACAATAAAGATTGTGAAGTACCTCTTGCAGTAATGATTAATTAGATAGCTGTAATTAAGTGAAAATGTTGGACGTGGGGCGAGAAATTCCATAATTTTAAAGTTGTTGCTATATACAAGATAACAGATTACAGAAGCGAAATTTAAAACTTCCAAAGGCTTATAAGAGTACATATTGATATGTGTATATTGGTTCATTAATATCTATAAAATAGCTTCATATGAATGTGTTTGTGTCTCTTTATAATTTGCAAACACTGTGTGATTTAAATAAATGCTAGATAGTCCAACGTAGATTAGAGACGTAGATAATGTAGGGATTCTGAGTTTCAATAATAGCAATTTGGTTGATATTCCGATTATTGCTAAAAAAATTCCAAATTTAGACATATCACTAACTAAAGTAGAAGGCTCTATGTAATTATAAGCATACAGACTATACTTGTTAATGTTAGTTACACTAGCTAGGTAATATTATTAATATAATTAACCAAATAATTTATATCATACGTAATTTCCATTATTGAGACAGACCTTAGACATAGAGCACTAACTACTTAAACTGAAAAAAAAAAACAAGCTGTATTAATATTATTATAAAAACATAATATATAACCCATGGTTTGAAAAAAGATATTGGGAACCTGCACAACCTAGCCTTTTTATGAGAGAAATTAGAAAAAAAACAAACCAAGGTGATATAGATTATTAAATAAATGAAAACGTATGCTCATATCACGACTTCAGGTATGTTAATAGTAATCATGAAAAAAAAAAATGTTTCATAAAGTTGAAAGTATTGTGGACTAATTATTTAAAGCCTATTATTTAATATGATCGGTAAAAAACGAATGCAAATGATATATTGTATGAATTGATGTTGAAACTTTGAAGATGATGTTGATTTGATCATAGAGCTAATGGTAATAAAATCATTAATGGTATCACAACAAACTTCCAATTTTTCTTATCTTGATTTATTAAATATGAATTACCGTAGGAATGTTGAGCATTACTTTTTGATGAAGAACTTGATTTTCCAGAAGAAGAGGAGGAGTCGTCATCAAGTCCACCTCCAAGAACACCTGATGAAGATGCTGCTTTAGAAATATGAGAACCAGCACTTGAAACATCAGAACCAACACTACTCACGAAATGAGAAACACCAGAAGCATCAGATGAAACCGCAGCTGCTAAACTTGAAGAATCTGTTACTATGTGTAAGTTTGAATAGAAATTCGAACTGATTTCATCACCAGCAGATGATATTCCAGCACTAACACCAGAGCCGAAACTGGATAAAGCATTTGCACCAGATGATAAGTCAAATCCACCAGAAACTGAACTTTCTTGAGCCTTAACTGCTGGATTTGTTATTGAAGCCACTATATTTGAATCTGTCAATAAACTCATGATGTTATCTGTAGTATGTACTCAATTATAATGATCTTTCGTAATATATTGATTTGTAATGAGTTGGAAGTAATGTTTTGCGTTGATAAAGTGCGTTAAGTGTTTATAAGGGATCTCATTAGAATTCAAAAAAAATTGCGAGTCTGTTCATCTATATAGCTTATGTTGATCATCTATGAATTTTTTTGTCTTGTTGAAAGTTGAAAGGATCAAAAGTTTTTTAGTTGAAGAAATGATCCACGAATTGAGCGGTCTGTACATCAATACTGCAAATCACAGATATACCTAATTTTTAACTGAAACCAATAAAGATTGATGGTAGAGCGTTCAGCACCTGAATAAAAAGCATTCAGGAAAGTGGATATGAAGCAACCTATTGTAGTAGTATGTGGCCTACAATTGTAGTGAGTTATTGTTCACTTGTTTAGGGGAGAGTACTCAGGAGTCAATACGTTGTATAAAGTACTTGAGATCTATATAAGCTGGTAAAATTTTTGATTTTCGCATTCTGCAGCAAAATGTAAACAAACTTGTAATGGTGCCTGAAGTCAACATTTTTGTTCAAGGGGAAAGGGGTAAAAAAATATATACTGATGAAGAAGCGAAGAAGCGAAGAAGCGAAGAAGCCTAGGAATATAGGACAGGGATTGATTCATCAGATGTTAATTGAAAAAGTTGAGATATATGAAGTACATATTCATATCTGTGGAGGACACGTTTTACACTTGTTTAAGTGAAATTGTAGTTGAGATTGATCATTGCACAGTGCAAATACTACTACGTTAAATCACTTCGTCATTTCCAAGTTCCGATTTGTCGATTTAAATTTCATTACGCGCATTCCACTACTCTATGCAGGAACAAATGAAGCTTCAAAACTTAATCAACTAGACGTTACTTCAAGTTACAACTTACCTACAACTTACTACAACTTTAAATAGTTACTCGTGAGTCGTGAGTCGTAATATAACCTTTACAAATATCAGTATTTCAACGTCTATATTCAATTACCTCAAAACAGCTCAATATTAGGCTAGACAGTGGACACTCAGCTGCTACTTATTATACATCAAATTTCAACTAATTTCCAGCTGCTCAAATATCAATCGTAGCTGCTTGAATTTCATAAAATATATATCATGAGCTGAGTTTAATGGCGGGAGAACCCTAGTAGCTGATCTAATATCAATATGATATATATACGCTGCTTGAATTAGAGGAATGTAAATGTATATGATATATGGGATTATATATATGTGCAGATTGATATGAGCCTTTTCTAACCAAGCCACCAAGTATATATAGTGAATCCCATGATCATCAAAGTATCAAAGTACTCTCTATCCATTTGTACGGTACTATAATATTGTGACCTAGAATAGAATGTTTGTGATCTCAACTTCTAAAATTGTATTGAAGCTGATCCAGGAATATTGGCGATATCAGGCGCTACTATTTTCGGTTGTAACTTGTAAGTTGTTGTTAAAGTAACTTGTAATCCTTGTGTACCCTTAAGATTGAAGTCACATGATGCTTTACAGGGCTTGATATAGGATCCCAACGATCGCGAGTTTTTTTTTTTTTTTTTGTTTCGCGAAATACACAAAATTTCGTATTGGAAATTTTTCAACAAAAGTTTTTCAGGAATGAAAATTCTGTACAATTACTCTTCTAAACTCTTTGTTCACCATCAAAGTATACTTTTGGTTACTAACTTCACATAGGAAAAAGTATGTTAATAGATATCAGCTAATAATTATGATATTGAATACTAACAACTGTTATTAGTGGGTGCTTATAAATATTTGGAAGAATTACAACGTAAAAAACAATCTGATGTTAACAGATTTTTATTCAGAGTTAGAGTCTGGGAATACCGTCAAAAAAACGTTATTCACCGTGCTTCAAGACCATCTCGTCCAGACAAGGCTAGACGTTTAGGTTACAAAGCTAAACAAGGTTTCGCTATCTTCCGTGTCAGAGTTCGTCGTGGTAACAGAAAGAGACCAGTTCCAAAAGGTGCTACTTATGGTAAACCAACCAACCAAGGTGTTTCTCAATTGAAATACCAAAAATCATTACGTACCACTGCTGAAGAACGTGTTGGTCGTCGTGCTGCTAACTTGAGAGTTTTGAACTCATACTGGGTTAACCAAGATTCAACTTACAAATACTATGAAGTTATTTTAGTTGATCCTCAACACAAAGCTATCCGTCGTGATGCTAGAATCAACTGGATCACCAAACCAGTTCACAAACACCGTGAATCTCGTGGTCTTACTGCTTCAGGTAAGAAATCTCGTGGTCTTAACAAAGGTCACAGATACAACAACACCAAAGCTGGTCGTCGTCACACCTGGAAAAGACAAAACACCTTATCATTATGGCGTTACAGATCATAAGCAAAATCAACTCATTAATGTTTTTGACAAGACTGTGGAATTTTTGAAGGTTTATTTATACCCTTATGTTTCTGGAAATTTATTTTGAACAATTGGTTATGAATAGGTAAAGTTTATGAAGTGATTACATTAGTTTAGTTAATAATATGATTTTGTTTGTGTTAAATTATTTCACCGTAAGAGGCGCCAACTATCCAGTACTTGATGTTACTGCTTTTCATCAATATTATAGTAGATTTAGGTATACGTAAAGTTCAAGACTGGTGAATATATTAAGAGTTGAAAGTTGAAACCAGTTAAATATTCGCGGTTCGCGGCCGGATATTCGGTAATTTACCCGCAAATTTCAGACAGCCAAAAAAGTTGACTTCTGCTTTGACGAGAAATTGATTTTTTGATTGCAGTAAAATCACACATGATCTATACATGTTGAATCGATTTTGAACAATTGTAATTTAAATTGAAGTTTTTTTTTCTTTAATTCTCTCCATCAATATATTGAAGTTGGTCTTGAGGTCATTTCATTAATTAATTACACCATTCATCTTAATATAGTTGGTTCAAAATGGCTGCTTACTCAAAAACCGCAATCTTATCTGTTTATGATAAAACAGGATTATTAGATCTTGCCAAAGGTTTAGTTCAAAACAATGTTCGTATATTAGCTTCTGGTGGTACTGCTAAATTAGTTCGTGAAGCTGGATTCCCAGTTGATGACGTTTCAGAAATCACACACGCGCCAGAAATGTTGGGTGGTAGAGTTAAAACCTTACATCCAGCTGTTCATGGTGGTATTTTAGCTAGAAATCTTGAATCTGATGAAAAAGATTTAAAAGATCAACAAATTGAAAAAGTTGACTTCGTTGTCTGTAATTTATATCCATTCAAAGAAACAATTTCCAAAATTAGTGTTACAATTGATGAAGCTGTTGAGGAAATTGATATTGGTGGTGTGACTTTATTAAGAGCTGCTGCTAAAAATCATTCAAGAGTTACAATTTTATCGGATCCTAATGATTATTCCAGCTTTTTGGAAGAGTTGAAAGATGGTGAAGTCTCTGAGTCATTAAGAAATAAGTTAGCTTTAAAAGCTTTTGAACATACAGCTGAATATGATGCTACAATTTCAGATTTTTTTAGAAAACAATATTCTGAAGGTCAATCTCAATTACCTTTACGTTATGGTGCCAATCCACATCAAAGACCTGCACAAGCTTATGTTCCAAAAGGTGATTTACCTTTCAAAGTCTTGAGTGGTTCTCCAGGTTATATCAACTTATTAGATGGTTTGAACTCATGGCCATTAGTCAAAGAATTATCAGCTTCATTAAACTTACCAGCTGCTGCTTCATTCAAACATGTCTCCCCAGCAGGTGTTGCAGTTGGTTTACCATTGTCTGATGTCGAAAAGGAAATTTATTTTGTTAAAGATATTGAAAACTTATCACCATTGGCTAATGCTTATGCTAGAGCTAGAGGAGCTGATAGAATGTCATCCTTTGGTGATTGGATTGCATTATCAAACATTGTCGATTTACCAACTGCTCAAATAATTTCAAAAGAAGTTTCAGATGGTGTTATTGCACCAGGTTATGAACCAGAAGCTCTTGAATTATTGAAAAAGAAAAAAGGTGGTAAATATTGTGTTTTACAAATTGATCCAAATTTCACTCCAGATTTATTAGAAACTAGACAAGTTTATGGTATTACCTTACAACAAAAAAGAAATGATGCCATCATTAATAAATCTACATTTAAAGAAATTGTTTCAAAAAATAAAGATCTTCCAGAGCAAGCCGTAATTGATTTAACAGTCGCAACTATTTCTTTGAAATATACACAATCAAACTCTGTTTGTTATGCTAAGAATGGTATGGTCATTGGTTTGGGTGCTGGTCAACAATCAAGAATCCATTGTACTAGATTAGCAGGTGATAAAGCTGATAACTGGTGGTTTAGACAACACCCAAGAGTTTTAGGTTTCAAATGGGCCAAAGGTGTTAAAAGACCAGAAAAATCCAATGCTATTGATCTTTTCGTTACTGGTCAAATTCCAACTACTGAACCAGAAAAATCAGAATATGAATCTAAATTTGCTGAAATTCCTGAACCATTAACAGAAAAAGAAAGAGCTGAATGGTTATCCAAATTGAAGAATGTTGCTTTATCATCAGACGCATTTTTCCCATTCCCAGATAATGTTTATAGAGCTGTTAGATCAGGTGTCAAATATATTGCTGCACCATCTGGTTCAGTTCAAGACTCAGCTGTTTTTGCAGCTGCTGATTCATTTGATTTAGTTTACTTAGAAAACCAAATTCGTTTATTCCACCATTGATTTGATTGCTTAAGGGCTATTCATCAATTCAGAACAACTTAATATACATAACTATTTGAAAATCATCCAAATATTGTAGATCATATATTCAAGTTCAAGAGATTCTACATAGGAACATTTATAGTATTACTGCTTTGTATTAAAAAATTATAATCTACTTAAATTGGATGTTTGCAACATGGTTTTACCCAAGTGATCAATGGCCAAACGACCTACACAGCGTCCAGGAATATGTTGCTGTGAGATAATAATGGCCGAACTCAATTACTTCAAACCAAAAGGAAATCCATAAGAATTCAAAACCTACCTCACTTTCTATACAATCCGTCGACGGGGCCACTCTGTCTCACCATCAAAGAATGATGCCCTCAATCAAAGTAATGGATGTAACAACTGCTCAACCTCCGAAGAAGGACCAATTGAACACCAAAACCATAGCTGATCGAATAAAGACTTGCCTCTCGAGCGCCGAGCTGAAGCAAAACGTTGAACTACAATAGCACAAGAACAATGACACCGAAATGCAATTTAGTTCAAGTTTTATTGAGTCGTTTCACAACACAGATTGATGATATAGATTTAAAATCTAAAACTTGTTAATAAAGAAGGAAAATTTTCACTCAATTTAAATCATTTCAAAAAACTTTCGAGAAATGCGTGGCCCAGTAAAAGTGGATCGCCCACTACTTCACGATAATTTTTTTTATAGAGGTATAATAATAGTAGTTAGGGCTAGAGGCAATATTGTGTTAAGACACTTTGTAGGGATTGTCTGGTTCTAAATATTTGCACATGAGTAAAAAGTCAGTCAAATTTGAAGGAGATAACACTCTGATACATAATGATTTAAGTGAGGAAAGTGATTTGAGTAATATTCCTGCTGTGACCAAAGATAGTTTATATACAAATGATATTTTGAAGTTATTCCAAGATAGTTTTAATCATATATTGAGCTCACCAAGCTTGGAGGGTTTTATTCAAAAAGTGAAGTCAGATCTTTATAATAGAGATTATATCAGTGCTTTTGGTCAAGATGATAAAAGAATGGCTTATAGTGCAAGATGGACACCTTCAAGAGCGTTATGTTATTCCTCATTATTTAGTTCATTGAAAGAAGTAAAAGAAGTTATTACAGACCAAAACTCAAAAGTTCTTTGTGTTGGAGGAGGTGCTGGTGGAGAGTTAATTGGATTATCTTCTGTATTCACTCAATCAAGAGATTTTCTGAACAAAGATAAATATAAATCAAAATTAAATATCAAGTTGATCGATATAGCTGATTGGACTACAATCGTGACTCAGTTGACATCAAAAGTTAAAAAGAATTGGCTGTATGATGAACCTGATTCTCTGGAAGTCGATTTTATTAATGATGATGTTATAAGTGTGGACCCAGCATCATTACATTTAACAGACTTAAACCTGATTACTTTATTATTTACCACAAATGAATTATTTGCTGAGGATAAAGCGAAATCTATTAGATTTTTCCAAGCTCTAAACAAGCTTTGTCAAAGTGGTGCTTATTTGTTAATCTCTGAAAGTGCAGGAAGCTATAGTCACATTACAGTTGGTTCAAAGAAATTTCCAATCCAGTTTCTAATAGATACTATTTTGTTAGGTAAAAAAGGTGAAGGTGAATGGGAATTAGTAAATAAAAGTGATAGTTGTTGGTATAGATGTGAGAAAGACTACCAATATCCAATGAAGATAGAGAACATGAGATTCTTTTTTAGACTGTATAGAAAGAAATGAACAAACTACAACATTATTATTGTTTAAACCCGTATTTAAAATATTACATTAAAACCAAAACCTATTCCCAATGAAGTAAATAAATGATTATGATAAAATAAACATCAATTACTTAAATATAAATCTATATAAACAATAACTTAATTAATTTATTCTTCATCTTCTTCATCAGCAGCAACTGAGTAGAAAGTTAATTTGTAAACACCTTGTTTAACTGAAACGAATCTGATCCAGTCTCTGATTTGGTTTTTCTTCAAGTATTTTTTAGTTAAATATTTCAAGTATTTACCAGAGAATTTGGTGTTTGAAACAACAGTGATGGTGGTACCGTTTTCTTCAACAACGATATCGTTACCTAAGTTACCAACTAAACCTTCAACTTTGATGTGGTCATTTAAGTATTTGGTGTATGATGATGGGTCAAAGACACCATTTTCAGTTGGAGCTGAAACATCGACAGTGAATTTTTTAGCAGCTTTAGCTTTTTTGTTGGTCTAGAAAAAAAATGTTAGTTAGCCTACTGCTATTACAGTCATTAATCTTTTGTAAAAAGATTATGATATAAAATTCAGCAAAGCAAAAAGATGGGACCCTAAATATGAATATATGTCAATTGAACAATTTCATACCAGAGACTTGTTCAACAATAAAGAGCGAAGTCTTCCACACTGAACACCAAATCTGCTCATAAGCCTATTTATAAGTTCATTTCACATACAATTGGAGCCATCTTTAATTAATTTGATTGTTAAACTTCGAACGTAAAGGTAAACAAAAAGTATAAAATCAAAAATATTACAAAGGTTTTAATATTACATGTTTTTTTTTTATCGCGCGAACGTATGAAAATTGTATTTAGTTTGGGAGTTGTGACTGTGAAAAATTTAGAGAAAAGGAAGAAGATCAAAATGTGGTGTATGGGTGATGAAGCACCACGAATTTGACTGTCTTACATCATAAATTACATAATCGGTCGAACCTGCTGCCATTTTTGATCGTGTATGTTTATTAAATTCCTTGTGTGAGAAATGATAAGTGTTATTATTATATACGATAATTACGGCTTGACAGGTTCAACCTGGAATAATAATCTTCAAATCATCAAAAACCTCGCTTAAAGTGGACAGAAATAATTCGATTTTGGAAGTTAAGACTCTTATGAAGCTCCTTATCTACCTCAGTACCATAAAGCTCAACCATTAACAGATACATTCTCATGCAATCACATAATGATCAATTCTTGCATTCCAAATCAACTCATAATAACAGTGATGATATATTAGAAATACCAGCCGCATCTTACTCCACTGAATCGATTCCAAAAAATCACAATACGCTAGAATCCCATACAGAAAACGGCAATATTGCTTCTGTATTGAACATTGAAGCTGAAAGAATAAGCCTTGTTGATAATGGCATTAGTGATCATGATAGAAGTTCTGATAAAGATGATTATGTTGAGTTTGATTTAGGACACGAAGACTATAAGAGTGGTATATTTACAAGTGATCGTCTGAGGATTAATAAACAGGATAGTTTCAAGGCAAAATTGGTAAAATCAGGTAAAAATGTCTCGAATGATAAAGCTGAACAATTATTTAAAGATGAAACAATATCCTCAGTTTTCGTTCCACCCAAGCTTGAAATTGTTGATAAAGCATCTGATGTAAATTATTTGGAAAGTGGTATGAATTCATTGAATGTAAATAGCCACGCTGATGTTAAAGTTAATGATCAGGAGGTTCAGGATAAATCAGCACATGGTGTTTTGGATGATAATGATGAAGATAAAGAATGGATGCATATGGAGACGGCCGCTGATGATGAAGTTTATGATGAAAAAGGAAAATTTATTACTCTGAAAGATGATTCAGTATTGAAAGAAGATCCTTTACTAGGTGTTAGTTCAGGGTACACTAGAATTGCAGCGGAAGAACAAGCTGAACTTTATAAGGAAGCTAATAAAAAGACAGATTTTCTTTTTAAAGATAAAAGTGGACCTAGAAGAGAAACAAAATTAAGCCCTCAAGACTATTCTGATATTTATGATGAAGAAGAGGATCTCGAGGAATTTGATAATAACAACCAGTACAATAGTTCACAGACGCCACTTAGTCAACTACAAACCACAAAAAAGTTATTCAAAGATGAACAGAAGTTCGCATACATTGGATTAGTGAAACTCGTCATGAATGATATGGCTACGAATCTAGCCAAACAATGTGTTTCTTCCAAAAGTAGATCTAAAAGATCAAAATGGGCTAAAAGAATCAACTTAGCACAAGCAACATTTGGTCAATGGCAGTATCTGATAAGTGACAGGTTATATAGTCATTTAGAATTGTCCGAAGAGGAAAAGCAAATGGTTGAATCTTTAAGCTCACATGGTATATCACCAGAGGATTTGTCCCGTTCTTTAAGAGTACGTGATCTTGTTGATAATCCGGCTTATGATAAAGATGCACATAAAGTTGAAAAAGCTTTTAAAGAAGGTGATGTATTGAAACCGGATGATATTGCTTGTGACCAACAGATAGAAATTGATGTTGCTTGGACTGTTTTGTGTGATTTATTTTTGGTGTTACTGGCTGATTCAGTTTATGATTCAAGATCTCGAACACTCTTGCAAAAATTTGGCGATCACATTGGACTTAGTGAATTGGATATACACCAGTTCGAAAGAAGAATCACCAGCTCTTTACAAATGGAAGATGCAACAGAACAAGTTTGGGATGAAAAAGAGCATCTTGAATCCCGGAAAAAGAGAGCTAAAAAGAAGAAGTTAATGTACGTTGGTATGGCTACAATTGGTGGATCTTTGGTCTTAGGTTTGAGCGCTGGGTTACTTGCTCCCGTTATAGGTGCTGGTATTGCAGCTGGATTAACCACTGTGGGTATTAGCGGAACAACAGGATTCTTAGCAGGGACGGGTGGTACTGCGCTTGTTACAGCAACTGGTACTGCTATTGGTGCGCGTATTGGTAGTAGAGGGATGAATAATAGGGTTGGTGATGTCAAGACATTTGAGTTTATACCGTTTCATAACAACAGAAGAGTTAATCTTATAATAACTGTATCTGGATGGATGAATAGTAAAGCTGATGATATCCGTTTACCATTTTCAACAATTGATCCTGTAATGGGTGATTTGTATTCACTCTTATGGGAACCTGAACTTCTTCAATCTACAGGTCAAACTATTGGAATATTAGCAACGGAAGCAATTACTCAGTCAGTTCAACAGATTTTAGGTGCCACCATTTTAATGGCTTTAATGAGTGCAGTTCAGATTCCAATGGCTTTATCAAAATTAGGCTATTTATTAGACAATCCATGGAATGTTTCGTTAGATAGAGCTTGGAAAGCTGGGTTGATTTTAGCTGACACATTAATTTCAAGAAATTTAGGGGTAAGGCCAGTCACTTTAGTTGGATTCTCGTTGGGGTCAAGAGTTATTTTTTCCTGTCTCTTAGAGCTTGCTAAAAGAGGAGCGTTTGGTCTTGTGGAAAAGGTGATTTTATTTGGATCACCTTTAGTTGTTTCTAATGATGATTTGGCTTTAGCAAGATCTGCCGTATCAGGGAGGTATATCAATGGGTACTCAAGAAAGGATTGGATTCTTGGGTATCTGTTTAGAGCCACTAGTGGTGGACTTAGAAGAGTTACTGGATTATCACCCATAGAAAAATTTCATGGGATTGAAAACTTTGATTGTACTCCATATGTTCATGGCCACATGGAATATCGTAAGGCAATGCCCCAGTTATTATCTCTATTAGAGTTTCGTGTATTATCGGAAGAGTTTGTGGAAATTGATGATCCAGATCCAGAGCAAACCGAAAGGCAAAGAGAATTAATATCTGAGTTTGATGAAGCAAGAAAACAGATGGAATTAGAAAAAGCTAATGGCAAGAAAAAATCTATTTGGAATAAATGGTTTGGACCTAAGAAGAAAGATTGGTGGAGTGTTTATCCTGATGCATCAGATAAAACAGATGAATATAAGGATAATAAGGAATTTGGGTTTGATGTTGATGATGTTATGAGAGAAGCGGAACAATTAAGAAGTGACACAATACCAAAAGATGATTCTCAAGCTATTATAAATGAACCCCAAAAAACACACTCGTCTAATGACACTGATAGTATTACTTCAAACAAGTCTAGTACAGATCATAAGTCAGATTTAATCTCAAATGAGTTAAACACAAATTCAAAAATTCCCATAGATGTGCACCATGAGAAAGATGTAAAGCAAAATATAAATGATAGTGATATGGATGATGAGTTCTCAACTAAGGAAAATATTACAATGTCTTTTTCTTAGATGTCTTTGATAGACATATATTTATATTATCATATATAGTACTGATATATAGCATAAATGTAGGAATTTTAATCAGAGTTATAGTAAGTATATACGAAGAAATCCTAGTTTAGATAAATCTCTATATTATTATTTATTCATTATATACTATCCATATCAATCAAAAAGTTAATTCAAAGGAAAATTTCTGCATTAATTTCAACTGCACTTGCAGCATATGGAATTTCAAAATTACTTAAAACAGTTGGATGTAAAACACCGATAGAACCAACAACTTTAGCTTCTTCACCATTTCTATGTCTATAGAAAATTTTAGCACCTCTACCTGGGAAATAGGTTTTATTTTCTGGATCTTCTTCAATCCAATAACCCTTTTCATTAGAATTTTTTGGATTTTCTAACCATGGTGTTCTTAAAGTTTGCATAATTTTACCAAGTAAACCTTGTGCATGTTCAAAACCAGAAGTTTTACCAGCGTAAATAGCACCCCAATTTCTTTGATTAAAAGCACGACGTTCTAATGATAAATCTTTGAAAACAACATCACCAGCTTCGAAAACTTTAATTGGTAAAGAATGTTTTCTATTTTCACGGATTGTTTTCAAAATACCTGGGATTAAAGATGTTCTAACAACTTGATATTCTTGAGTTTTTGGATTAGCTAATTGAACAGCTTTTGAATCATCAGTTTGATTTAAAAATCTGAAATTTTCATCATGTGAACATAAAGTTAATGGTAAAACTTCTGACCAACCTGATTGAGCAGCAGCGTTTCTAATGATATCTGAAACTTTATTGATTGGTAATGGTGAAGCACCTTTAGTAGTATTTGAAGTAATACGAGTTTTTGGTAAATTATTATAACCATAAGAAATTGCAGCATCTTCCATAACATCGGCTTGATGTAAAATATCTGGTCTTGTAATTGGAATTTGAACTTCTAAAAGATTTGAATCATTTGAAGAAACTTTAGCAACCAATGACATTTTTAATAAAAGTTTAGAAATTTCTTCACCTGATAATTTCAAACCTAAATAATTATTAATATAATCAATTTCAGCATTAATAATTCTTGGTTTTAAGTTTGGAGTAATTCTTGATTGATCATTATGTTTAGAAATGATTTCAATTGGTTCTATAGTGAAAGGTTCTGAAGTATAACGTGAAAACATTGCAACTAATTGATTAACAACAATTTCAACTTTTGTTTTATCAGTTGCTGTTAATTCAATGAAAACATTTTTAGTATCTAGAGTAATTTTTGAACGTTCAGAATTGATGATTGGTGGTAATGAAGCAATACGATTTTGATTATCCAATATAACTGGATAATTATCTGAACCTTCAATAATATGTAAGAATTTTCCAAGATTTTTATCTTTTGAATAAAAATCAACAAAGTTTTCACCAGTAACAGATTGATTTTGGTTTAATGGAATGAAATCAATATCCTTTTTAGGTAAAGCTTTGTATTGGAAAGGACCTTCTAATTTATCTAAATCATGAGTTCCAATTGCAACTAAAGTTCTATTACGACATAAATTTGAATGTAATTTATCTTGTAAAGAAATGAAGGATTGATAAGATCTTTCAGTGAAAGTGATGTTTCTTAAGATTGCACCTGCAGCGTATGGTCTAATTGATTCAGTGGATTGATCAACAGTTAAAGAATATTTTGGACTTGAAGATAATTTATAATTTGGTAATTCTTTTCTACCTAAAAATTCATTTAAAGATTGAGCAATACCTTCAATACATAACATATCATAACGATTAGCTGGGATATCAATTTTGTATTCAGGACGTTCACCTGGTTGGACATCATTAGTGGTATCTTCATCTAATTCAATACCGAAATCAAAACATAATTCTTCAAATTCTTCAGTGGTGTATTGTTTTCTAATTATAAATCCTTGTTAGTGAAATCATTAAATCAAAAGATTTGTGTATCAAAGACATACCCTAAAAGCTCGAAAAGATCGGCTTTATCAACAGTAACGGTAGGCATATTGAATGGGTAATTATAACAATCAATAAACTAGTTTATCTATAATCAAAAATCAAAACAAGATATATAATATTGACATGTTTTATATATATTTTTTTTCAACATTCGAGAAGAGAAAAAAAAAATCAAATATGAGCAAAAATTCGCGAGCTTTTTAATTTCAAGTGACAAATTCTTTAAATTTCTCATTAAATGAATGCTGTTTGATTGTTTGATTGTATGGGATAATTACTGATCTTATTAGACAGAAAACCAAAAGTTGATTGGTGATGTTTCCCTTGAAAAAGTTCTTTTGTTATGGTAAATAATGAATTATCAGTCATAATGTCGCTTACATAATTGGATACGCGCGAAATTTAATTATTGAGGGTAAATTTGATAAATTGCGCCAAAAATGTAGGATGAAAAAGACAGCTCAATTCATACTTAAAACATCAAATTTGAAACTCATCATTTTAATACTTGATTTCATAATATTAAACTAAAGAAATCATGGCCACTAGAACTCCTTCAAGAGCTTATGACTCTATTCTAAAACTTTTACTGGTTGGTGATTCAGGTGTTGGGAAATCATGTCTTCTTTTAAGATTTGTTGAAGATAAATTTAACCCAAGTTTCATCACCACCATTGGTATTGATTTCAAAATTAGAACTATTGAAATTGATGGTAAAAGAATCAAGCTACAGGTCTGGGACACTGCTGGTCAAGAACGTTTCAGAACAATCACCACCGCTTATTATAGAGGTGCCACTGGTATTATCTTGGTTTATGATGTTACAGATGAAAGAACTTTTGAGAATGTTAGAAATTGGTTCCAAACCGTTCATCAACATGCAAATGAAGACACTCAATTAATACTTGTTGGTAATAAGAATGATGAAAAAGATTTAAGAGCTGTTAGTTCTGAACGCGGTGAAAGTTTAGCTCAAGAATTAGGTATTCCATTCTTAGAGGCAAGTGCTAAAACTAATGATAATGTTGATGAATTATTTTTTAAATTAGCAAAAATTATTCAAGAAAACAATAAAAGTAATGAAAATTTAAACTCTAATAATGGTGGTATCAATGTTAATTCTAGAACTGAAAGTAAAGGTTGTTGTTAGATTGATTTACAAAAATATAAATTTATATCTTTGATTGATATACAATTTAGTTATACAATCTATTTTCTTCATCGTTTATTTTTTATTATTTTTATTTTGGAATGATTTTATATTAGTTAAATTTTGTTTTGTATGTACACATGTCATTTATTTTACGGAAATTGATTTTTTGTTATAAAGAAAGTAGATGCGTATAAATATTGGGTAAAAATTTAGGATGTACACGTATTTGAGCCATAGGATATTGTAATTTTGAAAGCTATACATGGGTGAAGAATATTACGTATCGTGTATTCGTCACATCAGCTTTTAATATATTGATATAATTATTGATTTATGACGCAAGAACGTCCAGCGCTATATTGTATGAATACATATGTACAAATGTTGAGAATGATCTAATAAATAAATAAATAAATAGTATTTCAAATAAATAAATAAATAAATATATATAAATATGGGGGTAGAACATTTAAATCTCACATTGAAAATGAATTATAAAACAGATCCAAGATGACACATTACACGTCATTTTTGTTAAGGTAATTAATCATCAAATTCTTTTCCCAAAATATACCCATTGATCTTCAAGTGGTTTTTCTTCTAATTCTTCCCAAACTTTCCATTCCGCTAGTTTTTGAGCCAAATTAAATTCATCATTAGCTTGAATAATCAATTCTTCAATTAACCCATTTCCAATTTCAGATTCAATTTTAGTAATATCTTCATGTTTTTCAACAATTTCAAGCCTTTTTGTAGTGAAATTTGTAGTTGAAGTTCTATAAACTGCATCTTTCGGAAATGAATCTTCAATATAATTTAAAGTTGATTTATAAAGCTCAATCAATACTGGTCTTGGGTTTGGATGTGTTAAAATACCTGTTAAACCGGTTGGATTTCCAGTAGCCGACCTGATCAAAACTTGAGTAGAGCGTAATAGCGGTGAGAATCTCATCTTAACACTATCGATGAGAATAAATATGGACTCAAATGATATGGTAACAATTGGTAATATAGTAGTTGTAGCTCTTATATTATAAGGGGTTGACAAACTGGGGCAAAATTCAAATCTCAAATGCGCGAAAATCCTTAAGAGAATGAAAATTAATATTATAATCGGTAGATTTCCCCTTTTGGACATTGATGCGATTAAAATCAGTCATAAATTTATAAATTAGAAATCAAATCATATTCCAATTTTACTTTCCTTGATCACTATATTACCTTAGGGCTCAACACATGCGCTGGTATCTTTATTACAATGAACAAGACGAGGGTTGATGTGGAAGAAGAAATCGATTTATCGAGTAAGAAAGATCATCATATTAAATCTGAAGAATTTGCTGTGGATGAGTCAAAAATTGAAGAATTAAATGGTGTTTTCAATGAGGATGATTATGTTGATGTTCCTCCTGATGGTGGTTATGGCTGGCTCTGTTGTGCTTGTGTCACTGCAATGAATTTTGCCACTTGGGGTGTAAATTGTGGGTTTGGAATTTTCTTATCATTTTATTTGGAGAATGATGTTTTCCCTGGTGCTACTCCAACTGATTATGCATTGGTTGGTGGGATTTTAGTCTTTTTAACTTTAGCATTAATCCCATATACATCTGTTTTATTATTAAAATTTGGATATAAAATTACTGCCTCTATAGGGATATTAATCCAATTAGCAGGATTTTTAGGTGCAAGTTTCTCTACAACTCTTGTCCAATTTTATATTACACAAGGTGTATTGATTGGTATATCTTATGGAATAATATTTGGTGCAAATTCAATTGTTTTACCTTCTTGGTTTTTAAAAAAACGTGCACTAGCAAATGGAATATCTCATTTTGGAGTTGGATTTGGAGGTGTTGTTTTCACACTCATTATAAATAAACTTATAATTGAAACTGGTGATCAAAAATGGGCTTTAAGAATAATTGCAATTATATCTTTTGTTATTTGTACAGTTACAATGTTTTTAGTTAAAATTAGAATACCTCAAAATAGTCAATTTAAAGATCAACAAAATTTATCCATTAAGAAGATATTTAAAAATATATTTGATTTAAAAGTTTGGAAAATGTTCCCCTTACATTTGGCTACACTTTGGTCTTGTATAGGTGCCACTGGATATTGTATCTTGTTATACAGTCTTTCAAATTATGCTACAAGTATGGGGTTTTCCCGTCATCAAGCAATGATAATAACTGTTTTATTGAATGCCAGTCAATCAATAGGAAGACCATTAATTGGATATTTAAGTGAAAAATTTGGAAGAACAAATTTTACAATGTTTGCAACTTTTTATACTTGTGTGATGTCTCTTGTATTTTGGATAAATGTTAAAAGTTATGCTGCTTTAATAATATTCACATTAATGATAGGTTTATTAGTTGGTATAAGCTCAGTCAATGTGGTTCCTTTAGTTGCTGATGTGGTTGGATTAAACTCTTTTGCAAGTGGATTGGGATTTGCGAATACAATAAATGCAATCATGTCTTTAGTTGCAGAAATGATTGCCTTAAATTTACGTGACTACTCTATACCAAATAGAAACCCTTATTTTCATTGTCAGATTTTTGTTGGTGTTTTATATTTCTGTGGGTTTATAGCTTTAATACCATACAGGGAATGGAAAGTTAAAAGAATGCTTCATCAATTAAAAAATTCTAAAAAATTGACAGAAAATGAAAGACAATCATTTAATGATTTATTAGAAAGCAAAGGTTTTATTGGATTTTTACAAAGAGCTTTCCATTTAACCATTATTTGATAAAAAATGTATTAATCGTGATTAAAATTCATTACATGATCTGATTATATATTTCTTGCATATTAAAATACAAAATATTTGTACTTATTAATTATTAGGCCAGCTAATTATACATTTGATTTTCTTGTGCTTGACTTCACATGCTGATCCGAAGCTTCCCCTGAAATGCTTGATGATTCAACATGTTCAATATAGTGGGCTTCCTGTTTAGAGGTGAAAGAAACTCTAGGTGATAATGGAAGTTCTGGTTCATAGTACATGAACTCTTTAGTATCAACAAATCCCATAAATAGTCTATTCTTTTGAACAAATACACGATCAATAGCTTCTAATGTGAGTCTTTGTGTCTCTGGATAAAATAAGTAAAACATTATTGAAAATGCAAAATTAGTTGCAGCAAATATCAAGTATGATCTCCATTTAATATTTGTAATGATTTCAGGTGTTATTTCCACAACGAAGAAATTCCATAACCAGTTTGCAGAAATACCAATGGCAGTACCCTTTGATCTTGCATGTAATGGTAGTAATTCAGGAACTAATACCCATGGTATACAATTTGAAGAAGCACCAAATACTAGTTGAAAAACGAAAAAGAAACCAACAGCAGCAGCACCAGTTTGTTTAGAAATGCTTTCGTTATTTTGAAAAATCAATAAAATTGCAATCATCAACATGGAAAATGAACCTCCTGCATGACCCCATACCAAAGGCTTTCTTCTTCCTAAAGAATCAGCAAAGAAACTTGGAACCAAACTGCCAATAGTGAAGCAAATAACAGAACAACCAGCCAAAATCATTGCCAAATTTCTTTCTAGACCAACATTTTCAATTAATACTGTTGGTATGTAACTTTAATATTTGGGTTAGTACTTTGTTGATTCTTTCAAATAAACTTCAAATAATTAGTAATCATAAATTATTTTCAATACTTACTAATTGACAAGATTAATACCACCCATTTGTTGGGCAAACATTGACATATAGGACAAAATAATTCTATGACGAGTTTTAGCCGTGTCAGATTTGAATAGTTTTTTCCAAGTATATTCCCCTTCCAATGTTTCAAGCTCCATTGCTTCTTCAATTTCTTGATACAATCTAATAATCTCCGGGTCATCACTATCTTTACCAAATACATAACATAGAGTTTGTTTTGCTTCTTCTTTATCACCTTTCATATACAAATATCTGGGAGATTCTGGAACTGTGAAGATAAAGATCAAAACAAATAAGGCAAAAACAATTTGTGAAGCGAGTGGGAGCCTCCAAGCTATTGAGCCCGATGCAAATGATAGTCCATAGGTCAACCAATATGCATATACTAAGCCGATACCAACAAACAAAGGCTCTGAGCAAACCAGATTACCTCTCACTTCAGGTCTTGATAACTCTGATTGATACATTGGAACGACAGATCTTTGCGTTTGTTAGTAAATGAATCTTTATGTTTTCATACAAAAGAAAAACTTACGTATCTATACCTGTCCCTAAACCACAAATGAACCTTGCAATCATCAAATGTACAACAGAATATGCGCATGCTTGTAAGGCAACACCAATAATCACAAGCACCATAGCAAGTATAAGTATTAAACGACGACCTAACATATCACCAATATAATAGTTCATTACACAACCAAAAAAACAGCCTAAAGTGAAAATTGAAACTATAATCCCCAAATAACTACCAGTAGGATGTCCAAATGTTTCTAGAAAGTTGTCACCTGTAACAAGATTCCCAATAATGCCCTGTTCACTACCAAAAAGAATGAAACTAACCTCACAAATTGCTGTTATAGCCCAGCTGACGTTTCTACCAGGCTTCCAGAATCCACGTCCAGTTCCAAGTTTTTTATAAAGTTGATCCATGTTTAAACCTATTTTAATTTAAAATTTAATGGTGTATTTTTGAATTGAACAGAACCAGGTGTTGAAAAGGATATACTCTTAGTTTTATAACTCCATTTTCTTGGTGTAATTTCTCCAGGTCATCATTGCATTTTCACTATTGACCTAGCATGACTATACCGTACCACCGTACCTCTTAAATCGCTTAAAATCAGCTTATAATTATAAGTTTAGAAGCGTTCAATTGTGATCTGGAAATTTCTACTACGTTGCGGTTACAAGTCGACACGACAGAGTCCAGACGTCGTACATTAGCAAAATCATTCCTCCGGGCTAATTTCGCTTAATTAAATTAAAGATCTCATATAAAATAGCCGCAAAAATGTCGGGAGTCATAATTTTACCCTCTAGAAACTCTGGGGAAAACAAACCAAATCAAAACAATACTATCCAAATCAATAAATAGCCGATGATCTTCAACCATCATATATTTCTTGTGAATAAGCGCCAACTTAACATCACACCAGTAGTGACAGTGCTGAATACTGGTGAATACCAAACTGGTATAACAATTAGTATTAGTGGATGAAGATTTAGCCAGGTAAAACGTATGAATTAGTATGTATATAAGAATATGAGATCTTATGAACGGGAACAATATTTCCATGTCTATAATTTATAATATACGTTGTTACAATAGTATCATATAGGGCGTAAACTGGTGACGTCAAGTCTATTATATATAATTATATATTAAACATGATTAATAATATTTATAATAGACCTCTGACAATCGATCCATATTCAAATTAATCAAAATTGTACTATTTGGCTCGTTATTAATTAAAGTTAAAATTATTATGAATAATTATATCCGTTTTAAGAAATAATCAATTGATCGCTTCCTCTTATATAATAGATTGAACGGCGGGTATAAACTCGAAGCTAGTATATAAATCATCATACCGGCATGTCAATGATATAAATTATATATATATATGTTATATATACGTCTACAAGATTGTTTTTGTCATTAAATTAGTGTAACTTATAATACTAGTATGATATATGTTACAAATCGCTTTATAGACTAGTATAAGAAAAGTAATCTCCAAAATGATTAATGTCTTTCAATTTTTGCCAATATTCATGCAGTGCAAAATCATAATACGTATATTAGTGCATATTTTCATATATAATTCAATTTAGATAAAACATTTGGACATTAACAATTTAAATCTTGAAATTCCCATAAAATTGACTTATCTTTTTGTACACGGATCATATAAGACTTAATACGTTCAACAATTGAATCAACCTTATAACCAAAATACTCATAGACGGCGTTACCAGGCAATGACTTACCAAATGTGTGCATACTAAAGCCAGCATTAGCATATCTTTCCCATCCATTTGGTGCGTATGCTTCAATAACAATGGTTGGAATTTGGCCTCTTTGCAACACAGACCGTTTGTACTCAGTAGATTGTTCTTCAAATATTTTTTGGGAAGGAAATGAAATAACTCTTGAAGGTAACCCGTATTTAGTTAATAATTCAGCAGATTCATAAGCAAACCCCATTTCAGCACCAACACCAATGATATTCAATACAGGTGATTCGATATCTTTAAAAATATAAGCTCCTTTTTTCACTAACTCACGTTTCGAATTGGCAGGATACTGATTGAGTTTATGTCTAGACAAAGATAAAATTGTTGGACCATTAGCTTCTAAAGCAATTTCCCAAGCACCAGCAACTTCTTCACTATCACAAGGACGAATATAATTGAGATTTGGCATTGAGCGAAAGAGAGCAGCAATTTCTATAGGCTGATGTGTTGGTCCATCTTCACCCATTCCAATTGAATCATGGGTAGCAACATGAATGACCTTCAGATCAGATAATGCACCATACCTAACAGCTGGTGCTGCATAGAGGTAGAAAATAAGAAATGTAGATGTGACAGGAATGAATGTACCCTTGTTGAAAGCAGCAATACCATTAGAAATAGCAGCCATAGCATGCTCTCTAATACCATAATGAACATAACGACCAGAGTAGTCACCATTGATACCACATGAAGTATTGACTTGTGGATTTTGGAAATCAACCTTTTTGTCCCAAATTAGATTAACAGAAGGGGATAAATCTGCAGAACCGACAATGAAATTGTTAATGTTTTTTGCCAAAGGGTTAACAACAGAACCACTTGATGCTCTTGATGGTGTTGGTGAAGCAGAAAACTTTGATGGAATATAATTTTTCCAGTCATTTGGTAGCTCACCATTGACTCTTCTTTGGAAATCCACACCCAACTCTGGGTAGTTGAAGACATATTCAGCTACCAATTTAGACCATTTTTGCGTATAAGCATCACCTTTGTCAACGAGATCACCAAAGAACTCGTAAACTTCTGCCGGAATATGATATTTGAGCCCTGGATCAAATCCATTGATAATATGAAGTCTATCAACTTCTTCTTCTCCAAAAGCAGCACCATGAGCTGAACAATTATTTTCAACGTTTGATCCAATACCAATATTTGTATGAACATTGATAAGTGTAGGTTTATCGGTTGATAGTTTGGACTCTGCTAAAGCTTTGGCAACTTCTAGAACGTCTTCAGAGCCATTGAAAACTTCAATCACATTCCAATTTGTAGCTTTAAATTTAGCATTGATATCTTCCGTATTTGTTAAATCAACTGACCCATCACATGAAATTTGATTATTATCATAGATAACAGTAAGATTGTTCAAACCAAGATGACCTGCTAGTGAAACTGCTTCCATAGTGACCCCTTCTTGCAAACATGCATCACCGACCATGCAAAAAGTATGGTTCGAAACAACAGGAAAGCCAGGCTTATTATAAGTTTCTTGTAAATTTTTAGAAGCTATAGCCAGTCCAACAGCATTTGAGATACCCTGACCCAAAGCACCTGTTGTAATTTCAATACCAGGAATTTCAATTTCAGGATGACCTGGACATAATGAATCTAAACGTGATGAATGGTACGATTTTAATTGATCCATAGTCATATGTTTGTAACCGATAAGATGCTGAAAAACATATTGAAATAAGCAAGTGTGTCCATTTGATAAGACAAACCGATCACGATTGAAGTATCCTGGATCATTTGGTGAAAATTCAAGAGTATATTTCCATAGCGCAATACCAATAGCAGCCATTCCCATAGCACCACCTGGGTGTCCACCATTAAATTGTTGAACCAAATCAGCGATTAGAACTCTAATTGATTTTAAAGTTAAATCATGGATATCTTCTGTAGCAGTCATTTTTGATAATGCATTTTGGGTAATAATTAATCATGATATCCACTGAATATACTCGGGCTTTATAAGCTTTGATGTTCATTACTTTGCGGTTAACATAAATGTCGGCTAAAGTCAATTTTTTAAAGTTCATTATGCGGTTAAAATAATTAACCTGCGCGTATTTTCGTTTTTCAATTCGCGAGACGGCTAATTGAAAGAAAAACAATATCTTCGAAAACATTAATGTACTTAACAAAACTTCCGCAAAACTCTCATATAAGAATCGATAATAACAAATATAGAGATTCACTTCGATAATGTTTTACTATTTTGTCAGTTTAGGATGTGTCGAAGCTGTTTCAATCCTTCCGTTCAGGTCACAGTTGATCACAAAATTGAAATTAAGGAAAATGATGTACCTCAGTTGAAATTTGGGGAGGTTTTAATCCATCCAAGAGCCACTGGTATCTGTGGTAGTGATATACACCTATGGAAGCATGGTCAAATTGGCGAGCTTAAGGTTCTAGGAAATCTTGTCTTAGGGCATGAGGCCTCTGGTGATATTATTGATGTTGCTGAAGATGTCACTAATGTGAAAATCGGTGACAAGGTTGCAATCGAACCACAAATTCCTTGTAATACTTGTTTTCTATGTCGTCAAGGCGACTATAACTTGTGTCAAGATGTTAAATTCATTGGTGTGTACCCTAATTCAGGATCTATGCAGCGTTATTTGGTTCATGATGCTAGATATGTTTTTAAATTACCAGAGAACATGACATATACACAAGGTGCATTAGTTGAACCGTTATCTGTCGCTTATCATGGTGTGGAAAGAGCTGATCTTAAATTAGGCCACGGTGTCATGATTGCAGGAGCTGGACCAATTGGTCTCGCGACGTTACTGTTGGTGAATGCTGCTGGTTGTGCACCTATTGTAATTACAGACTTGAGTGAAGGTCGTTTGAAATTTGCTAAAGAGTTAGTTCCTAACGTTATTGCTCATAAAATTGATGTTAAACTAACACCCCAAGAAACAGGGATACAAATTAGAAAATTGTTTGGTCCCAAGGAAGATGATGCTCCTTCAAGAGTCTTGGAATGTACTGGTGTTGAGAGCAGTGTTGTTACATGTTCTTATACCGTCAGAAGATCAGGTATTTTAATGATTATCGGCGTTGGTAAAGAGGTTTTCAACAATTTCCCATTTATGCAATTATCATTCGCAGAAATAGATGTTAAATTTAGTAATAGATATCATGATTCTTGGCCAACTATCATAAATATGATATCAAGTGGTCTCTTACAGGTTGATAAGTTAATTACTCATAGATTTCCATTGGAGAGGGCAGATGAAGCTATTGAGCTCGCAGGTGATCCTAGAAAGGGTAGTATTAAAGTGATAGTTGAGGACCGAAATGGGACTCTTTAAACACTGTCTAATTCACGCAATGAATTTACTAACTGATTGGTATATATATATATAATAAATATATATGTATTGCTAAAAGTTTTGAATCTTTCATGAATATTGTTAACTCTGAGAACTGAACGAAGCTTTATACTTATTGATATATTACAATCGACTACTACTAGGTAATGATTAATCTTCCTAACCCACCCATGCATAGCTGTAGAACTAAATTATAATATATTTTCGATTTATAACTATTTTCGGGAAACACTAGTTTAATCAAATACAAAAACTTATTAATATGTGTGGTGAAGCTTGAGTAATTTTTTAATAAAGTCCTCATTTAATTTTAAACGGCTAGCTGATTAATGAGAAATAAAAGGGATCCAGACGTGAGGTATTAATTTACTGAAGGATCAGTAGCTGGTTATTACAGTAAAAACATGTTTGAAACTTGATCCAATTTCCATTATAATTTCCTTGAATCCCAACCTTCAATTCAATTAATTAAATTATGTCAAATTGTTCTTGAAATTCATCACAACTTAATTAAATCTTTATTTATATGCGTTTGATGTTGATGATATTAAACTTTCTGATCCACTAATATTGAACTATTCAATATATTCAACAATCACCATGCGACCTTTTGTTTCAATTATTATCTCAATTAAACTGTAGATATTGTTGGTATTTGGGTAAGTTTTATAGGAAGTGTACGGAAGATTCAAATTAATTATATATCAATTATTGAAGCAAATAAATTAAAGCAATATGGTTGTTAACTAGTTCAAGAAAGAGAAAATGAGGCCAATTCCCTCGTAGGATCGACATTAAACATCGACCACTAATTTTGACACTTTAAAAGTTTTAAGAAAGTCAAGTAGAAAATGCTTAGAAGCTTGCAAGTCATTTGATTCATTCAAGATAACTCTAAGAAGTTGAAACGAATGTATACTAACTAGCTTGTTTTTTTTTTTTTTT